TGAAACCACACACATTTATTCTCTCACAGTTGCTATGTGTCAGAAGTCCAGGCACAGCTAAACTGAGTCCTCTGCTCAAGCTCTCACAAAGCTACATTCATATCAGTAAGCTTGGTTAGGAAGGGATTTACTTTGAGGCTTACTTGGGTTGTTGGCAAAATTTATCCCTTCATCATTGTAGGATTGAGGTTCATGTCTTATAGCTGACTATTGGCTGGGCTGACTTCAGAAAGTACATCAAGGGACAGGAATCTTGAGGACCATCTTAGAATTCTGCCTGGGACAGTGTTGAAACATTTAACATCCTATACAATTTACCTCCACCCATTTCTGGCCTCCAGTTAACAAGATTACAGTTAGTTTAGGAAATGTTTGCCAATTTCACATTTGGTCTCTTTCTAACTCTCTCAGTTTTATCTACACCTCCCATTATCTATTCCATTGCTTCATTCCTTGATTTTTCCACTGTGCCATCACCAGTAAGGCTGACAAACTTATTACCCAGAACTGCTGGCCTTAGCTTCATATCTCTCCTAAATCCCCTCCCCACTCCAGTGCAATGTATCTTGCAACAGCAACATGGAAAAAAGACAGTAAACGCTTTTCCCATAGATAGGCCTGAGTGAATCTTGATGCTCCTCCTTTTTATAAGAACTTGGGCAAGCCATTTCACTTTTCTGAGTCTTAGGCTCCTTGTCTGTCAAAAGAAATTGTAATATCTACGTTTGTTATAGCTAGATGGAGAAACTATATAATGCATACTTGACAAATAAAAAGTGCTCACTAGGAAGAAACCTCCAAGTGCACACATCCCTTGGCAGTGGTTCTAGGCTCTATATACTTCTCAGGCTTTGCATAACAACTTCCATTTACCAAAAACATTTTATGTTCTAGGTCTTATGCTAAGTACATTCTTTGCAATTATTTCATTTAATGTTATATTAGTTCCCTGTGGCTATTGTAGCAAATTACCATAAACTCATTGACTAAAAACAGAAATTTATTTTCTTACAGTTCTAGAGGCCAGAGGTCCAACATCAAGATGTCAGCAGGGTCTTACTCCCTCCAAAGGCTCTAGGGACAATCCACTCCTTGCCTCTTCCAGTTTATGGTGGTCCTTGGCTTATAACCCTATCACTGCGGTCTTTCTTTTCATTGTCACACAATCTGCCCCTCTATTGTGTGTCTCTCCTCTTTATGTCTCTTATAAGGATACTTGTCATTAGATTTAGAGTCCACCCAGATATTCCAGGGAGATCTCATCTCAAGATCCTTAGATAAATTACATCTGAAAAGACCCTTTTCCTAAATAAGGTATCATTCACAGATTCTGGGGATTAGCATAATGACATATCTTTTGGGAGGCCACTATTCAGCCCACTACCAATATCATAAATACCTGAATTTATAGAAGGAACCACTTTTCAGAGATGTTTAAATATTTCTCTCAAGATCATATGGACAATTCATAGTGTGGATAGGATTTGATGGGGATGGGCTACACACATACTTCTGATTCCATGCCTAATTCTGAACCCCTGGCTGCACATTATGCTCTGGCATAGTCCTGGTATCTTGGCAAGTTCTAGAGCTTTCAGGAAATCTCATCTTGGAGGATACATCTATTAGTAAAAGAAGACAATTTTATTCTTTTTTCCTTATATGAGCTTAATCTGACTTTCTGAAACTGTCAAAATCATTTCTTCTAGTGAAAATTAACCTGAGTGTGGGAGTGAGTTGAATCGCTTTTAAATTTAAAGATGTCAAAGTAAAGGTCGAGTAGATGCCTATCTTGGTTCTTTAATTAGAAGATTTCAGAGTTCTGTACTAAGATTTTAAAAGCAGGATGAATCACTTCACCTTTGTACTGTGATCTTTGATGCTTTTTTTTGCTGACCCTTGTCACCACAAATTACAGCGATCAGAGACAATTTGGAAAAGAAAGTTAAGTTCAGGAGATTTGAAGGAGCACATTGTCTCCCACATTTCCTCACCATTCCATTTTTGTCTTGCCTTTCCAACCACTCTGGACTTCTCCCATGTACATACTGTGTTTGATTGGTGATTACGGTATGTGGTTAATGTGTCTCAATTTACACATTTTTTTTTTATAATCTGAACAAATTTCCTTCCCATAAGACTCTTTTCAAATTACCTAAGAGTCTTTTCCCAAGCCCCAGGAAGTCAATTTTACATATTTGCACTTAATATATATTTTTATAATGACGATATAAATAAGTGTTCAAGAAGCCACTCACTCTAATGAAAATGTCTTAGGCTAGGCCCTTTAAAAAATCTGTATTCTAGTTTGCTTTCTGCACTAATTAATTGTGTGACCTCAAATGAAGGCCAAGATAACTTCTGTGCATTTTCCTTATTTGCAAAACTGAGATAATTGCTATTTCCTGACTCAAATCATTGCTATAAGTATAGAAGAACTTACAAAATAAACGTTGAAATGCTCAGAAAAACAAACAGTGTGCTAACCTTAAACAACAACAACAACAAAAAGATAAAAGAATAAAGAGCAATTGAAATATGCAAATTTAAAATATATAATACATTTGAAGGATTTTCTCAGTTGTTTTTCTACAGTTATCATGGTCTATTTTAAGCCTTTAAGACATCTATCCCAATGTCATTCTCTGCTAATGACATTGGGATAGATTATCAAGATTTCCTAAGAATTTTAATGTCATTAATGAAATATACATTTGATTCCACTGAAAACACTTCATTTTATAATGGCAATTCTGCAAATTCCAAGAAGTGCCTTTGGAAACTCCATCTAGCCTCCTTTTCCCCTTAGCCTTTATTTCCAGATGTGTTACAACACTTACTCTGTGTGAAAGCTCATCAGCCAGCTCTAGGGAGCTTTAATTCTCAGGCATTTACTTCAATAGATAAGTGGTTAAATAGTAACCAAGTGTATAGGCCTTTCCAAGAGAGGGTAAAGATGTTTGTAGAGAGAATGCAAGGCGGTTGAAAAGTATTTAAACACAAATGATTAGTGGAGTTGTCCAGGGACCAAAGAACCTTCTGTTGAGTGGATAGGAAAAAAGATTGGCCTGCTGTTTTCCACAGATAGTTTGCATATAAAGCATGAAGTAATTAAGTGTTTTAATTTTGATCCCTGTGGTGCCTCTCCTTCTCAGAGCACAGCAGGGAGGGTGAACGTAACCAGCACATTTGGAAGTCTGGGTGCAGCAAGTCTTTGTACTTGAAAACTGACATTTGGGTTTGCTATGTTGCTATATGTATGTATACTCCGTTCCTATTCATGTAGTAAGCAGAAAGATCGTGCCTACCACACCTTCAAAAAGCAGCCTCTTCAAAAAGCAGCAAATCTTCAAGGGTTAGCATGAATATTCTTTCATGTGAGAGATTAACTGTGTGCTCACCTGGGCGGCTGCCAGAGCCAAAAATGCTGTTTTGTGTGTTTGTATGCATGTTTGTTTGTTTCTGATGTGATTTTGTACTCAGACAAGATTATACATTCTTTTTTTATAGTTTTACTTTGCTCAAAAATATATTCATGTGCACATCCAAGGCCCTATAGGGTCCCTTTGATTTCCTAGTTAACTAGGTCTTTGAGTTAGGCTTATATGCCAGGAATAATTGAATATGAGAATAGATCCTTTTCCAGTTGATATAATAAAGGTATAAAAATATAGAAGAAGATTATCTTTTAAAACAAAGTCAGACTTGTTTACCACTGAGCCTTCATCCCCAAACACTGCCTGGCATGTTGCAATATACTCTCTATATTTGAAGATTCAAAAGATCAGTGAGTCTTCTGCATTTTTATTTTCTACCATGTAATACAATATGACAGCTACGACCCTGTCTTAGGCTGTATACCTTAAAGAGATGATAATATACATGAAATGCATTAGATTTAATGCTTAGGTGAGGATATTTCTATTTGATCTACCAACTTCAAACTCTTTTTCTATTTGTGTTGCAGTTACAGTTATGCTGGACTAAGCAACTAAAGATCTGTATTCTAGACTTCACTGAAATACTTGGCTCATTTATCTTGTATGCAAAATGGATGTCTTAGTGTCTTTCTCATTTATCTTGCAGAATAGTCATATAAGCTAAAAGAGAGAATGCATTCAGTCTTTTTGAAACTTTTTACTACTTTTTGAAGCATCCAAGGATGCTGTACTATCCAAATGTGAGAGGTAATTTTTCAGGATAAATGAGAAGCAAATCACCTTCATGAGTACTTCTGGTCACCAGGGGCGGAAAAATATATATATATATATGTATAGATAGATAGATAGATAGATAGATAGATAGATAGATATAGATTGATAAGCAGAGAAGTATTATGATCTTTATCTTTCATGTGTGATTGAATAACAGAAACAAGCCTATAAGCAATATATTGATATGTTAGCACAGCATGTTTGTTAATGCAAAACTGAGTATACCATAAATTCACCTAATATATTGTTTTCAAAATGGTAAGATCAGGACTGTATTATTTAAAGCAAAGTGTTAAATGTTGAGTAAATATGGGATTTTACCACATTCATTCATATTTCCATCAGTTTATTGTCCTGCATAATTATTGTTATATCATTTACTTATTTGTGATATATTTTGTATTATTGTAACCCATGTATGATTGAATATTAAATAGTTATACATAAAAAAAGTTCTGCTGGTTTTCTTGTTCCAAGGGGACACAATCTTTAGAGATATTTTAAAATCAAAAAGTCAAAAAAAAAACAGAATTATAACATTCTAAAGTCAGGGAAATTATAAATCAAGTGAAAATATATAATTTTAGAAAAAAGGAAACTAGGACTGCACAAAAATCTGAAGAATGTTGTAAGTAGCCACGTTCCAAATCAAAGTGGCTTAAGGGGAAAATAAGTGTGGAGAGAGCATTACTGCATGACAAAACTAAAATATCCAGGGATATTTCTAGGTTAAAGCATAGCATAGCTAGATCCAGGTGCTCAAACACTATTGTCAGAAAAATTTACCTTCTATATCTTGGTCCTGCTTTGATTTGTGTTGTCTTTATTCTTAGGAAGGAAATTTCCTCAAGACCAAAATGGCCACTGGCAGACATAGGCTTCTTCCAAAATCTAGCCAACTCAACCACAGTTTGGCTTTTCTACCAGCAGTTCAAGCAAAACTTCAAGATTGATGACCACTACCTTTGACTGATGAGCTTTGTTCACTTGTACTTGTTCACTTGTTCACTTGTTCACTTGTTCACTTGTACTTCTGAACCAGTCACTGTGGGGAAGGCAATATGGGAGTCTCACTGGCAAGTTGTGGATGATATATGTCCCATCCTAAAGGGGGAGGGGAGGGTACAGTTTATTCAAATTACATGACCAGAAAGTCAAGGTAATGAACAGTTATACAAAGAAGGGGTAACCAAGGTGGGGAAGGCAAAATCAGTAAATGTCCCCTGTAGAAAGTAGTACAACAGTAAGAAAAATTTCCGAGAAGGAGGGAAGTGTTTCAGAGAAGGGGTTCATGAAAATAAGGAATAACAAAAAGTGTTATTATTTAGAGGAGGGCATCAAATCTTCCTTAAAATTAATAACATTGGATATTGGATCATTGCAGAGTAGATATTGTCAGTTATTTGTAAGATGCTCAAGAAGAGGCCTGAAGAGTAGAATTGATTTTAAAAAATTAGGAAAACATAGTTGAAACTTGAATTTTGCCATTCCTTGGGAAGAATATTTTAAGACTTCTGTATAATGAAGTATAAGGTCAAAATTCATCTCACAGTCACTACCATTTGTTAAGTAAATCTATAGTCAACTTATCGAGAACCATGTACCACTAGAGAAACTAGAAGTAAATGTGACCAGCAGTGTAGTGACATGTTTGAAACCATGGGTTCTGGAGCCACCTGTCTCAATTTGAGCTCTTTTCTTCGTTCTATGTATGAACTTGGAAAAGCTACTTAAGCTCACTGTGCCTTAGTTTACTCATTTAAAAATGTATCTAGTATTAGAACCTACTTTATTTTACAGGTGTGTCAAAAACTGTGAAAGTTCTGAAAACAAATGTACTTGAAACAAATTATCCTGTTTTATGGATGCTGGTGTAAGAGAAGAGACTCCTGGGTCAGAGACAAAGAACTTAATTATCCATGGCACATGCCATTTATATTTTCCACTAAAGTCTCATCAGGTGACATGGAGAGGCCTGGTTGATGCTGCACATATAGTGGATTTGTGTTAGAGCTGAAAGTCCCTGGGTATAAGAAACTCCAGTATTTTTTAACCCACTACAAGCAAACCCAATCTTTGTCCTATAGGAAGACATGATCTTTATTGTACTGGACAAAACACAAGCCATCCCTTTGCTCAGGAGGGAGACATATCTATTTTCCAAGACTGTTACATACACAAACTTTTTTTAGAAGGTAATCAAGAAAAAAAAAGGCAATTATAACCTCTGCTCTCAAGAAGCAAAGAAATGCAAGAAACACATGAAGGATTATCTCCTCACAGGTTGTTGTGAATTAATGAATGTACTATTATTATTATTATTGTTAAATAATTTTTCAAAGATTTTATTTATTTATTTGACAGAGAGATAGCAAGAGCAGGAACACAAGCAGGGTGAATGGGAGGGGGAGAAGCAGGCTTCCCGCCAAGCAGGGAGCCTGATGTGGGGCTCGATCCCAGCACCCTGGGATCATGACCCAAGCCAAAGGCAGACGCTTAATGACTGAGCCACCCAGGCGCCTAAATTGTTAAATAATTTTTTAAACTATTACTATAGTTACATATTTTATTCCAACTATTCAGCTCTCATGTTTATGAGTCATAATCATATCTGTCCAGTCCAATTAGCGTGAATAAGACAAGTAACAATTGTAATAGAAAGCCCTGAAACATCCAAAAGTGGAATTGGGTTGCACAACAAGACTCTGATTTGTCATCATTTTATTTACATATCCTTTTCTTACAAGGCCCCAACTCAGGTTTAGGAACTTCCCAGTTTTCATTTATTTTCCACATGCTGGCTTATTGTACTTCCACATAAGATCTTTTATTAATGAAATAATTTCATGTCTTTAATAGATATGGAAGAAATTAATGTATACGATAATAACAATAATAATCCAGAAAACAATCCTCCATAAGAGCCCACATTATCTCTGTTTAACTTTTTCTTATTTTTTTTCTGAAAATTTCATGGAGAATTGCATTATACAGTCAAATTACAAATACTATAGAAAGAAAACTTAAGTAATATAACCAACAGGGAAAAGCTCAATAGTATGAGAAGAAATGGAGGTGTAAAATTGCAGATCAAAAAAGTCAATGTTAAGATAAAGGAGTATATACAACTGGGATTAAATAACTTACATGAGCTACCAATAAAATATGATTCCTTAGGGTTTTTTTTTCTTCAGTAGTAAAACTAATTTAAAAAAAATCCAATATGTGTAGTCAACATAGAAAATCCCTGGAAAGAAGAATATATACTATAGGGTAATGGTGGTTAAGAGTGCACGTAAACTCAAACATCCCATTAACAGACTCACCAAGGGATAATCCTGTAGCTACCAACAAAATGGTTTGAATTTTCTGCCAGAAGGCCAGATGCTGCTCTGTTAAAATTAAAAGAAAATAAAGTCTTGTGAATTAGTCTGTGACCTGTAGTACTACTTTCACAGGTGGAATAAAGCATTATTTGTATAAAGAATTAAGAGAACTGTTTGCAAAGAAAGACATTTTGAAAAAAAAAAAACTAAAGATAACAGGTTGTGTGTGTGTGTGTGTGTGTATAAAACCTATTGCCAAATAACAATACTTCATAACTGCATAGTTCTTTATCATTTTCAATAGAATTTTCAAAATTTTTCCCTAAAACAAGTTAACTTTATTATGATTATTATTCTACTTTCATTTTACAGATTTTTAATAAGTTGAAGTTCAAAAAAGATAAGTAAGCAGTAACCTCTAAATATAAATATCTTAGAACCAATGAGGTGACAAACAAAATTACTAGATTCTAATTATTTTGGAGCTTACGAGATATGCTCTCCACTGGAAGCTTTCTTCAACTCTATTCAGAATGTGGTAAGAAGTCAAAATTTACTCAGAAGGTAGCTCTTTCTTCACTCATTTCTTATATCCAAGTCTGTATAATATTGAAGCAGTTTAAAGACATCATTGCTACAAAACTAAAAGGCAACCTTCAGAATGGGAGAAGATATTTGCAAATGACATATCTGATGAAGGGTTAGTATCCAAAATCCATAAAAAAACTTATCAAACTCAACACCCAAAAATCAGATAATCCAGTTAAGAAATGGGCAGAAGACATGAATAGACATTTTTCCAAAGAAGACATCCAGATGGCTAACAGACACCTGAAAAGATGTTCAATATCACTCACCATCAGGGAAATGCAAATCAAAACTACAATGAGCTATCACCTCACACCTGTCAGAATGGCTAAAATAAACACAGGAAACAACAGATGTTGATGAGGATGTGGAGAAAGAGCAACCCTCTTGCACTGTTGGTGGGAATGCAAAATGGTACAGCCACTCTGGAAAACAGTATGGAGGTTCCTCAAAAAGTTAAAAATCGAACTACCCAACAACCCAGCAATTGAACTACTAGGTATTTACCCAAAGGATACAAAAATACTGATTCAAAGGGGTACATGCACCCTGATGTTTATAGCAGCATTATCTACAATAGCCAAATTATGGGAAGAGCCCAATGTCCATCAACTGATGAATGGATTTAGAAGTTGTAATATATATATATATATATATATATATACATACATACACACACTACATATACATATGTACACACACACACACACACACACACTGGAATATTACTCAGCCATAAAAAAAGAAATGAATTCTTGCCATTTGCAATGACATGGATGGAACTAGAGAGTGTTATGCTAAGCAAAATAACTCAGTCAGAGGAAGACAAATACCATATGATTTCACTCATTTCTGGAATTTAGGAAATAAAACAGATGAACATAGGGGAAGGAGAAAAAAAAGAGAGGGAAGCAAACTGTAAGAGACCCTTAACTATAGAGAACAAACTGAGGGTTGTTGGAGGGGAGGTAGGCAGGGGCTAAATGGGTGATGGGTATCGAGGAAGGCACTTGTGATGAGCACTGGGTGTTATATGTAAGTGATAAATCACTAGATTCTATTCCTAAAACTAGTATTATACTATATGTTAGCTAACTAGAATTTAAATAAAAGCTTGAAACCAAAACAAAAACAAAACAGAAGACATCATTGCTGACCACTTTCATTTCATGGACATGGGAGAATATGATTTTGATTTTAGATTTTGAGAATTTGGTTTAGATTTTGAGAATTATTCCATGATATCATTTTACCATGGCTACATAGATTAGAATAATGATAAAACAATAGTTGACCATAAGTAACTGTATGAATTTCTCACATATATTTCGGTAGGGAAAAGGTATTACAATCTCTTTCTGTTCTTCTGAATAACTGAAAAAAGCACAATTAATAAACTTACATCATATATATATGTTCTTAGGGACTCTGACAGAGAAAAAAATGAAAGTTGGGTTAGAAAGCATTTTAAATGCCATAGAAGTAAAGTTCTCTTAGAGCACATGTAATGAGAGTGAGTGAAACATGAAAGATTCATTTATTCACTTCCTTATTTGTTAAACATTTTTTAATACCTATTTGTGTCAGGCACTACAGTGGCTGCAGGGGACACAATAGCCAGCAGGTAAATGAACAAAAAACCATAGTGTCTGCCTTCACGGTACATAAATTTTAAATAGGAGAGGTTAATTAAATAATTAATAAACACAAAATTTCAACTCCATCCAGTGCTGTGTAGTTCTTAGAAGTGCCTATAATAGGAGGACTTGAGTTCAGATGTTGAACTTAAATGACAAATATGAATGAATTAGACAAACAGAGGAAGAATACTCCATTTTGCTTTTTAGAAACACCATGATCACAGCAGATTCACAAATGTTTCCACCAATGCCCCTTTATGCAGAAGAGCATTAATTTATACCCCAGATATCTGGGGACACAGCCAAAAGCTTTTCTCCAAAAGCAACATCTCAGTGCCATAGCTTACTTTAGACTAGGGTGACCTCACATTTCAGTTTACCCTGGGTCATCCTAGCTTATGCCTCTTGTCCTGGCTTAAATTTTTAATGGCTCACAGGTTTACTCTTAGAATTATGCTTATTAGGACAATATATTATACTGTCAGCACTTCTTCACACTCATATTTTATCCTAAATTTTCACTGAAACATTTCACTCTGTGCTAAAATAAGCCTGTGTCATTTTATATATGTAAGCAATGAGTAAGATAACGCTCAAGGGGAAATTATTAGTCTTAGAGCAACTGCAATTTGAGTAAAAGCTATTTCAATGGACTATTTAAACACATAATTTAAAACTGGTTTAAATAATCACAAATAATATAGCCTCATCCCTGATGGTTCCAAGAGAAAAGAGATGGATACAACTGACCATACTTACAAGAATTCTAGAAACAGAAAACAGAGAGGACAAGGTAAATAATGAGAAGGTGATGTGAATTTCTGTTACTAATTTTTAAGATAGCATCTTTGTGTATTTTTATTAAATTCTCACCTCATTCCACAATCACTAATTTACTGTCTTATGTATTCCTTCAACAAATATATTCTGAGTGCCACTCCATACATCAGGCATTGTTCTGCTCAAGGTATTGGGGATATGGTGGAGAATAACAGAAAAAAATCTCTTCATAGACCTTGTTAGTATTTGAAGACTTTCATATTTAAGAATAAATTATAAAATAGCTAAAGTTAAGTGGTAGCGTACTACATATGTGAAGACAGAATCAATAGAAGAGAAAGTATAGGGTCAAAGTCAGACAAAAAGAGATCACATAGGCAGTATGGAAAGAAGCTTACTATGACTAAGTCTTAGGCTTGTCTTTAGGCTTCCCAAAGCCAAACGGAAAAAAAAAAAAAGAGAGAGATTCAATTAATTGTTACTTTTTCCCCCTTGGTATGGAAAAAAATCCTCAGAAGATACAAGATTTTCTAGCAACAATTTCCACACATGCACGCCTGCACACCACAAACACAAGAAACTGTGACTAAAAAATACTAAGAGAAACTGCTTAATGATGCTAAAACTCAGGTCCTCAGAACTAGTATACATATAATAAACCAGAAAACTTGGAAAAATACAAATTTTCGGGTACTTTGCCTAGTATAATGCTTCTCAGGTAGTCCTGAAATGTAGTCTGATATGGGAATCCCAGAGATACTAAGCACTATTTTTTATTTTTTAATAAAAATGAAGCAGGTCTTATATGGTACAATCTACATAAATGCAGAAATTAGTTTTTTTTACAAATAAGAAAAAATAAAGGTATAATAATAAATATATATAATTATATATAGTGTATATAAGAAAGATTTTTAAAAACCAATTTATTATATAAAATTATCCTAAATTCTGGGGCGCCTGGGTGGCTCAGTCGTTAAGCATCTGCCTTCGGCTCAGGTCATGATCCCAGGGTCCTGAGATCAAGCCCGGCATAGGGCTCCCTGCTCGGCTGGAAGCCTGCTTCTCCCTCTCCCACTCCCCCTGCTTGTGTTCCCTCTCTCGCTGTGTCTCTCTCTGTCAAATAAATAAATAAAATAAAAAAAAAAATTATCCTAAATTCTGATACCAAACCAAAAAAAGCCCCAAAAGGGACAAATACAAACTTGTTACTAGTAAGAATACAGATTTTAAGATTCCTAAAGGAAGTATTATAATCTAAAAATATGATAAATGAGAATTCATAAAAAACATGCAAAGTGTATTTCTGAGATGAAATAATAAAACATTTTTAAAAATGGTTAATATATTAATTACATTCATATAACAAACAGAAATAGTATTTTTTTCAATATTAAAGAAGAGATAAAATACAAATTAATTACCAACCAAAAAACAAAACACTGACCTGCTCACATAAGTTCCACTCACAACCCACAAAACCAAAATGCCTACATGAACACAGAGTTTAAAGTTTTATAAATTATTATTATTATTTTTTAAGATTTTATTTATTTATTTGACAGAGAGAGACACAGAGGGAACACAAGCAGGGGGAGTGGGAGAGGGAGAAGCAGGCTCCCCACTGAACAGGGAGCCAGATGCGGGGCTCGATCCCAGGACCCTGGGATCACGACCTGAGCCGAAGGCAGACGCCCAACCATCTGAGCCACCCAGGCGCCCCAAAGTTTTATAAATTATTATCATCATAAATGACATCAGTAATTTAGTGCTTAAATGTGTGAGGCACAAGAGCTTTGTATACATAATTTAATTTAAAATTACGTGTAAAAAAACTACAGATCCACTGTTTTGCTATTTTTAATTTTCAAAAAAATCAAAGTGGTAGAAACAGAATTTAAACTTAGTTCTAATAGTCTTCAAAACAAGTATTGATTGTCAATATGCTCTGTGGAATTAAGTCTATAAAAACCTGGAGTTAGATAGTAAAGGTGAATATGTGACTAAAATTGAGAATATTCTTTTAAAATGTAACAGTGAAAAGATGACTGATAAAAT